GAATTCTGGGAGTTGAAGTCCACTCATCTTAAAGTGGCCAAGTTTGGACAACACCGGTATAGACCATCACGTTCCTTACTGCTGCACCAAAGGACAACAAAATTTAAGCCTTCTTTCAGAAAGGAAGCAGGGGAGAAAACTTGGGACATGAGATGACCCAAGCATCCCCAATTGTGCAGAAAGTGAGCCACCGCCTGCGATCCAGCCCGTGGAGGCCGGCCAGCTGACCGTTGAGGGACAGTCTCTGCTTCCAAGACTCCCCGCTCCATCCAGGTCACCAGATTTATATATAATAATCCCAAACATTTCTAAAGCCTTCCCTAACCTGATGCCCTTCAGAGGTTTTTGTTGCTCTTCTTAGAGCTTCTCCTGCTTCGTTTTACAGGGTCTGCTATGCTCGCCCAGTTTATGCAGCAAAGCGACCGAGGCAGGATGCAACGAGCAGGTTTTGTTTTTCAGCCAGCCTGCTGCAGCGCTGATACTGGTTCTGGCTGAGAGCGAGTGACTGGCCCAAGGTGGCTTCCACGCCTAAGGGAGGACGAGAACTTAGGTCTTCCGGCACCTGGTTCAGCACCTCAACCGCCATATCACACTGTCTTTCTTGGTGCTCTTCAGGTGAGTCAGATCAATCCCCACAACTTCTAGCCAGCACAGCCATGGTGGGAGCTGGTCCAGCACATTGGGGAGGTCACCAAGATGGGGAAGGCAAAGTTACTCTGAATAACATAGCTACAAACCACCACATACAATTTTACACTTTGATTTTCACTGAATTCTTTTAGCACCTTTGTTGTGTGATATCCACTGTCCTTTGCTAGTTCCCCGGCTTGTTTAAATAGCCTATAGAAATTCAGCTTGAGAACATAAACTGAGTAATCTCACATTCTATAGGAAACCAAATTCCTAGTGTACACCATCAACAGGAAGAAGGCAAAGTTGAAGCTGGATTTTCTTTTGACACAGAACAGTACTCAAGACAAACTCGTAAGACGGTACAAACACAGAAACCCACCACGTTCCACCCAAACTACCGTCTAACTGTGCAACTAGAGGAGCGCATCCAGGAGGGAGGCGGGGTGGTGAACAGGTAGCATAAAACTGAAGAATTGTGGTTCATTTGCTTACTCAGGGTTTACGATCACCACCAGAGTGGTGATTTTGCAAGGGGCCAATTTCCCCCACCCACAAGGTCCAGAACACTGACATTCCCACAAACCTTCACAATGTTGCCGTTCTAATGAACAGGTGCAAAGTGAAGTTCTGTTAAGTTGGACCCCTGACACAGGCTCATTCCAGACTCCTCTGTGGCACAGGGCAGGGAATGCGTGCCCTCCAGATGTCCCAGCTCAGCCGCCAGCGAGAGATGATGGAGCTCTACTCAACAGCATCTGGAGGCCACAAGTCCCCACCTTTGGCTCTGGAGTAAGATCAGCTTCCCTCTCATATTTCTTCCTATCTTCCTTAGAGATATGAACCGTGTGATGTCACCATTTCAGCAGAGGCTTGGTTGTTTTTAAGGGGCCCAGTCAACAAGCAGCACATCTTCTGTAATAGCTTGGACCCTGTGTACAGGACCTGCCTCCAGGCAAAGCAGCAGCCAACGCCCGTTGCTTCAAGTCCAAAAATCAAAGGCAGCTGCAGTCAGGCAGCAAAATACCATGTTCTATTTGGAGACGCTGAGAAATGAACCCAAGGCTTTCTGCTCTATCATCAGCAAGTCCCCAGCATGAAGTCCTGTCATACACGCCCAGCTTGAGACAGAAGAGCCCCTTTGGTTCAAGCACAAAACGTCTCAGTGCCCAGTGGTCTGGAGATCCCAAGGTTGTTACTCCAGAGATCTGTAAACTTTTTATCTGCCTCTTGACTCGAGGCAGAGCAGACGTGTCCATTTAAGTTGGGGTATTAAAAAATATCTAAAAATTAGGATTCCATCATGGTTTAGGACCACCTCCCCTTTCTTGACTCGTTTATACTGGCGATGGGGTTTCCCGTGTTTGCACAGACAGAGTCACGTTCTATATTTCCAAGTTAGGATTAAAGATCAGGATAACCTGGAGGGGAGGAAGGAAGCCAGACAAGCTTGTCCCCAAATCTCTTCTAGATCCAAAGGGGCACCTCGAGGAAAAAGCCACAGGGAGGAAAGAGAGAGACCACCCCGAGCGAGTAGGAGAGGTTGCCGGCTGCAGAAGGTATCCAACCTTTCCAAACTATAGCTGGGAACACTGTTTCTCCTCCTCTTGAACCCCTTTCAAATAAGTAGCGCGCAGCACTCACCATTTAAAAAGACATTTCAGAATTACAGAAGTCCATCTGTGATCACCAAAAGGGAATTACTCCTATTTATTATTTAAAAAAAAAAAACTTCACGCAATCCTAGGCAAATCTGTGGTGTCCATCTGCAAGACGACCAATCCATAATAGGGAAAGAGATTCCCAGATGCCCCCCAGCCTCCCCTTGTGCTCCTACATAAGTGCTTCTTGATGGAGGCCCTGTTTATCATCGGGGTCAGCCTCATCATCTTCGGGCGGGTCATTTTCGTCCCCGGATTCGACGTAGATGGGCCAGTCGTTGTCCGGATCGTTCTTTTCCTGCCCTTCTGATGAAGGTTCCATGAGGCTGAGGTTGATCGGCATCGAATCCTCGTGCGTGGTGGTGACGCACGTGCAACTGTCGCACAGGCCAAAACGCCGCAAGCCTTGAGTCAGGCTGCTGGTAAACGTTCGCCGGCAGCCTTTGCAGATGATGGGCTTGTTGGACCGATGGACCTAGAAATGCAAAATTGAGCAGGAAGGTAAACAACCGGGCTGGTGCTGCAAACTCCACGGCCCATCGTGCCCGCCGAAGTCATTCCCAGCCCGATCCTAACCC